ACAGAGAGATAGGCAGACGGGGAGGGGGGGGATAGGAAACGATCCAAGAAAATAAAGATTGTCTTTTGCAAACATACCTCCAGCAACTTCTTCTGCCTTCTCTTTTTCTTCTGTTTCTGAGAGAATCTGTAGACGAAGAGACAGGGGGAATGTAGAAGAACGCTTTCCTTTTAGTTTAGTAAGTACGAGTTTTATGGCACTTGCATGACAATAGACGGTTGTAGAAGTGCCCAAGACTAGAGCTGTTACAAGGGGGTAACAAGACACGACAAACGACAGATAAGGCCCACACAACAATATGTTTGATCAGAAAGTTTAGAAAGAAGGAGCAAAGCACCCGCCCACCTCCCACTGTTTATGTATTTTGTTTTGTTTGAGTCAAGTAAAGGGACGCACGTAGACAAAAACACGGCCATTTTGGTGCTCGAGAAGAACACAACACACCAGAGAAATAACAGAAGGAAAGTCAACAAGTAGGATCTACCAATGGCGCCCTCCAACCACCCGTGCAGTCAAAGGAGATCGCGGACAATGCGAGAGTTCAAGAAGGTGCTCGGTCCCATTTTTTAAAATAAATAAATAAATAAATAAAGTTATCAATCAATCAATAAAACAACACATTCGTGATCTCATGTCATAGGACAAGTTTTAACGACCATACTAGTAGTCTTTTACATAAAAAAAGGAGACTAGGAGGACGTCAATTTTTTTAAAGCCTGCTCATAGCTTCATTTTCGTTCGACTGATGTTCGTTTGTTTGTTTGTTTATTTTTAATTTTCAATTCAACTAAACAATAATGTTAACCAACTCCAAGAGTCAGACAGAATTAAATTGAGTTCTGAGGGCTAAGAACGTTCCATTGATGTCCTCGCGATGTCCGTTTTGTGACGGTGACCTTCTCTACCCAGGAACTCCTCCAGCTGAAGAACCTTGCAGGACTTGCAGGTAACGCAAGCTGAGGACAATCAACACCTTTTCTCAACAGTTCTCAAATATTGAAAGGGAAAGGAAGTCTTAGAGGAGCGACACAAATGCTTCAGTTCCAATTTGTGCCACATTTTGGCGCAAAACACACCAACAAAAAAAAGAAAAAAGAAAGTGAAGCGAAAGATTTGGACTTGACAATGACTATTCGAGCAGAGGACACCCAGGGTGTGCAGACAACGTCAATGGAGGGAGAGAACAGAGGTAAGACGTAACGACTGGCGGCGTCATTAAACCACTGCCATCCCACAGTCTGGACAAAACAACGTAACTACTGGCGGCGTCATTCAACCACTGCCATCCCAGTCTGGACAAAACAAGGTAACTACTGGCGGCATCACTCAACCACTGCCATCCCACAGTCTTGCATCTCAAAAAAAAGCTATTGGAGAGGCTTCTTCC